GGGTAACATTGTGAGACCCTGTCTCTAATAAAAATGAAAAAAAAAAAAAAATGAAAAGCTTGCAGTAGAAGTAGTAATGAATAATAGCTGCCATTTATTGAGGACCTGCTCTGTGCCCAGTACTGTGCAAAGTAGGCTTAATCGTCCTGAGAATCTCACTCGGAGGAAGAACGTTAATGATATTATCCTCATGCTGTAGATGAGGAAACTAAGCCCCAGGGTAAGTGATTTGACTGAGGAGTGCTAGAACGGAACATGGGCTGGATAGACCCAAAACTGCTGCCCTTAACCTGTTTTTGGTGCTGCTGTATACACCTACCTGGGAAGGAGTAACATATGGGGTTTTGAGTCAGGCAGACCTGTGTACCAGCCACCGCCCTGTGACTTTGGGTCATTTCCACCCCATAGGGTTCAGTTTCCTTTTTTGCAAGGCAGGAATACCAAGAAACTTTGGGAAGGCTGACATGAGAAGCATCTGGATAAGGGCAGATCACCTGAGGTCAGGAGTTCGAGACCAGCTTGACCAGCATGGAGAAATCCCATCTCTACTAAAAATACAAAATTAGCCTGGCATGGTGACACATGCCTGTAATCCCAGCTACTTGGAAAGCTGAGGCAGGACAACTGCTTGAACCCAGGAGGCAGAGGTTTCAGTGAGCCAAGATCGTGCCATTGCACTCCAGCCTCGGCAACAAAAGCGAAACTCCATCTCAAAAAAAAAAAAAAAAGATAAGGACAATTCATTCATTCATCCATTCATTTGATTTGTTCATTCAGCAACAGGTGTATTGAGCACCTGCTGTGTGCCCAGTGTTGTACTAGTTGCTGGGAATCGATAGTCATGAGCTAGATGGAGTCTGTGATTTCATGGAGCTTAAATCCAATGGAAAGACATGGATAATAAATGAGTAAATAAACTGACTAGGTAATTCTGGATCATAATCAGTGTTACAGGGGAGAAGATGCAGTGCAATGACAGAGAGAGCATGATGGCTAGCGGCCTCTGCAAACTGTTATCTGTGCAGCAAGTGGTGGCAGCCAGAATGATGCTCCAACTTCTGCTCCAAACAGAAGGTTCCAGAAACCTTAGCCAAAAGATGCCTGGAATCACTGGGGAACCCAATCAAAAGGTAAATACCCGGGGATTTGGAGTAAGACTCCCTTTCTGTTTGTTGTTATCCTTGGCATGAAGAAACAGAGGCTCAGGCCAGGGACGGTGGCACACACCTGTAATCCCAGCACTTTGGGAGGCCCAGGTGGGTAGGTCAGGAGTTCAAGACCAGCCTGGCTAGCATGGTGAAACCCCGTCTCTACTAAAAATAGAAAAAATTACCCAGGCATGGTGGCAGGCACCTGTAATCCCAGCTACTCAGGAGGCTGAGGCAGGAGAATTGCTTAAACCTGGGAGGCGGAGGTTGCAGTGAGCCAAGATCATACCACTGCACTCCAGCCTGGGTGACAAAGCAAGACACTGTCTCAAAGAAAAGAAAAGAAAAAAAGAAAAGAAAAGAAAAGAAAAGAAAAGAAAAGAAAAGAAAAGGGAAAAGAGAAAAGAGAAAAGAAGAGAAAAGAGAAAAGAGAAGAGAGAAGAGAAAAGAAAAGAAAAGAAACAGAGGCCTAGAGAGGTTAAGCAACAACGTGCCTGAAGTCACAAGTCACAGAGCTCATAAATGACAGGGCCAGGATTTGAACCTGAACAATTGGATTCAGGAACCTGTACACTTCATTGGTAGGCTGCTGGAGAGTGCAGACACTTTTTGTTAAAATGCAAACACCACTGACTGTGGGAGGAATAACACACAAGGCTCTTTGTTGCTGTTGAATGGAATTTCTGTGCATGCAGGACCTTAGAGATCATTTAGAGGAGGGAAGATCAGAGAGGCGATGTCCCTTCCCAAGGGCACACAGCAAGGCAGCCACAGAACTGGGTGAGGAGCCTGAGGACAGATGTCTCTAGAGGGTATGGCACTGTCTGTCTCCAGCCTGAGGCTTGTTTCAGGTGGTGCTTGTCAGCTGATCACCCTGGCTCCATCAGCCACACTGGCGCTGCACAGCAGCCGGTGTTTATGGGGACGGACATTTTTATGTCCTTTATTCAGGCAAAACTCATTCCAGAATTTGAGTAACTTTGCATCTGGGGACACGCTTCACCGAGCCCCGAGTGGCTGAGTTGGCTGGCGCTGGGTGACGATGACTCATTTTTATTGCCCCGTTGCTTTTGAGCCTGTGCCCGCCACAGATAACCTTGCAGGAGGCTGCAGCTGCCCTGGAGGCAGCGGCTCTCCAGTGCTCCCCTCACTCGGTCTGCAGCGAAGGTGCTGTACAGGCTTCCCCAACTGCCCTCCTCAGCTTCCCCTACCCACCTCCCTCTTCTGGTTTCTGCCCTCTGTCCCATTGGGAAAGGAAACCTACCACCATTTGGGCCCAGGATGAGTAATTGGTACTTAGAAGGAAAATAAAGATGCCAAACAGGTCCACACATTTGTCTGAGCAGCTCCGGTGTTCTTTCAGACCCTGATTCCACATGGCCCGGAGCGCCATGACTTGCTTTCTCAAGCATCATTTTCCACATTCGTTCCTGGGTTGGAGATGGCTGGGACCGAGAGAGACAAAGCAGACCCCTTAGCAGTGAGGCACAAGACGATGAAGCTAAGCTGACAGAAGAAGATCTGACCCCACGGATGGGGATGATGTAGCCCAGATATTTAAAGGCAGCTTTGATTTTAGCTGTCCTCTGGGCATCTCATGTGTCAGAGCCTCATTTGTTGGGATCCTGGTTCAGATAGTCCAGTTATTATCTACAGTCATTTATTCATTCAACAAACAAGTAATGAGCACTCCAGCTGTAGTGGAGATGCTGTAGTGGGCAGGACACTTGGGGGCGGGGGCAGCTGGCATGGAATTTATGGTCCGTTTGGGGAGATAATCCTTAAATGATGATACCAATTGTTATTGAATTATAGGTGGGACAAGTGCTATGCAGAAGAATGAGGCAAATATAATCCTCGGCTCCCCCTCCTCCTCATTGGGAGTCTTCAGCGAGTGTGCCTCCATCCCCACTCTTTTGTTTCTGTTTTTGTTTTTTTGACAGAGTCTCTCTCTGTCTCCAGGCTGGTGTGCAGTGACACAATCTCAGCTCACTGCAACCTCCACCTCCCGGGTTCAAGTCATTCTCCTGCTTCAGCTTTCCAAGTAGCTGGGACTACAGGTGTGCATCACCACACACAGCTAATTTTTGTATTTTTAGTAGAGACGGGGTTTCATGTTGGCTAGGATGGTCTCAGTCTCTTGACCTAAGGATCCGTCCTGCCTTGACCTCCCAAGGTGCTGGGATTACAGGCATGAGCCACTGTGCCTGGCCTACCCTCTTTTTTTTAGACT